TTTTTAGTCAAAATCTTTTCCCTTTCTCTGTTTTGCTGCTGAGAGATAAGTGAGAGTTAAAGGATGTCGAGTTCTGCCCTATATCTGATTTCCTTTTTTGTTTATTTTTTTTAAAATTTTGTTCTATTTTTCTATGGATTATTTGAAATCCAACGGGGTTGGTTTACTTTTTGGAATCTTTGTATTCTTTCTGAGTATTTTTTTTGTTGTTGTTAGAGCTTTAGTTAGTTTTGATCTTCTTCTTTGCCTATTCATTGTGACCAAATAATAAGTTTTTAGAGTCCTGTTTCCTTTTCTTTTTTCTATTTGGTTCCTGAGATTCCAAAGTCTTCTTCTTTTTCCTAATTATTTTAGAAAGATATGGCTTGTTAATTTTGTAGTTGGGTGAGCTAAGAATCCAGCTTTTGCTCTTCATACTTTTATATTATTATATCTTTTTCCGTGGAGTGTCACAATCTTTCTTGTTTTGGTTGTTGAGCATTGATTAATGATTGGTATTCTCTGTTTTGTTAATTCTTCTCAGCTTAATTATGCTGTTACTTGGGATTTCTATAACTTGAATATATTGTTCAATGTTTATTTTTCTTTTTAATTTCATTCCAATTTTTTTTTAACTTTTAATTACTGTAACAGGATTGGTGGATCTGGTATGGACCTCAGAAGCAAAGCAAGGGTAATTAATTTTCTTGTTTATTTTCTACTGGTGTGATCTTGTTTGGTTAATTAATTCAAATGGTAATATATATATATTTTTTTGGGTGTATGAAGACTCTGCCAGGACCCGTTAGTGACCCTTCAAAGCTTCCCAAGTGGAATTATGATGGTTCCAGCACTGGTCAAGCCCCTGGAGAAGATAGCGAAGTCATTTTATAGTAAGCTCTTCTAATTTTTCTTACTGCTTGTAAGGATCTGCTTCTAATAGTTTTCTGTTTTATTTTTTAATCTGGGTTATGGGTATTTATTATATTTCTTCTTCTTTCTCATGAAATGAAACAGCCCTCAAGCCATTTTCAAGGATCCATTTAGAAGAGGCAACAATATTTTGGTGAGTTATCTTGATCTTCTATTATTTTCTTCTTCCTTTTCAATTCATTGGAGATATGGTCTGATGTGATCTATTTATTATTTCTCTTTCTAAAATCATCTGTGTTTCTCAATGATGATCTAAATTAGGTAATATGCGATGCTTACACTCCCGCCGGAGTACCGATTCCAACAAACAAGAGGGCTGCTGCTGCAAAGATATTCAGCCATCCTGATGTTGTTGCTGAAGTACCCTGGTATCCTTTTTCTCATGCTACTGTTTTTATTTATATATATATAACTTGGTCTTCCATTACACATGGTTAGTATGATTTATATACATACACGTCTTTGTTGCTTATTCATGTATTTTCTGTATTTGAACTTTGTGCACTGTAATCTGGAAAACAGGTACGGCATTGAACAGGAATACACCTTGTTGCAGAAAGATGTCAAGTGGCCGCTTGGGTGGCCTGTTGGTGGTTATCCGGGACCTCAGGTAAATGGATGTTGCTTTCTTTCTACGGCTTTAGATTCATTGTTATATTTTATGCTCATGAGTTTTCCGAATACTTACATGTCATTGTCACCTGATGCTGGCACAAACTTGATAACTTTAAGAATTCTTTGGACGTACATTCTTATGTGATGTTAATTATGCTTGCTTTTTCTTATTTTATTTTTTCACATTGTTACAAGAACACAACTTTAAAATGTCGTTTATTGCTCAACAGGGGCCATACTATTGTGCTGCTGGTGCTGACAAAGCCTTTGGGCGTGACATTGTTGACTCGCATTACAAGGCCTGCCTATACGCAGGCATCAACATTAGTGGGATCAACGGTGAAGTCATGCCAGGCCAGGTAAAATTCACAAATTATATATTTATATATTTCTAATCTTCCTTATATTTTCTTTTTCCTTCTTTGTTTCAAATTTAAAGTATTTTCCAAATCTAATCCATCAAACTTCATGTAATACAGTGGGAATTTCAAGTTGGTCCTTCTGTCGGCATATCCGCGGGAGATGAACTATGGGCTGCTCGTTACATTTTGGAGGTAACTTAACACGCTTGATTGCATAATAAACCGATAGTATTACATAAAGCTGTTGGTCAACGAATTTTTGGTTCCTATGTTCACAGAGGATCACAGAGATTGCTGGGGTGGTGCTTTCTTTTGATCCCAAGCCAATCCAGGTGACATATTTTCCTTAAATACAGTATCTTTTATTTCAATTTACTTGTTCCATTACATAATAAGAGGCAACTGAACTTCGCAATATTGGCACATTTTTTTGAAACTTGGTTTGCGTACTGATATATATGTATATTTTTGAATCCCTTGGCACTTCTAACACCAGGGTGATTGGAACGGAGCTGGTGCTCACACAAATTACAGGTATAATGCCAATTCTTTGTTGTCAAGGATTTGCCTGTCTTGGTCAAACTATTGTTTTCCTATAGGATGACATCTGAACTGTTGTATTTCAGTACCAAGTCCATGAGAGCTAATGGAGGCTTTGAAGTCATCAAGAAAGCCATTGAAAAGCTGGGACTAAGGCACAAAGAACACATTGCTGCATATGGAGAAGGCAATGAACGCCGTTTAACAGGAAAGCACGAAACAGCTGATATCAACACTTTCAAATGGGTAAAACTAAAAACAACCTCATTCTTTTGTGTCCTTAATTTCATAATTGTATTCTTTGTTATATAAACAGTTGCTCACTTTAATTACTGTCAAATGATGGACAGGGTGTTGCAAACCGCGGTGCCTCAATCCGTGTTGGAAGAGACACAGAGAAAGAGGGCAAAGGCTATTTTGAGGACAGGAGGCCGGCTTCGAACATGGATCCATATGTTGTCACTTCGTTGATTGCAGAAACCACCCTTGTGTGGAAGGCATAAGCTCTCTCAGCTACACGCCTGTGGTTGTGACAATATCACCATATCCTTCAATGGGGTTGGAAATGTGTTCTACCAGATCCTTTTTAGCAGGATCCTTCTGTGTCTTAGCTACTTACTAGAATTAGCCTTGTCTTCAATTTGTATTGCGTTTTTCATTTTCCCCTGTATTAAAGGGTGCCAAGATGAGGTCATTGCTTCATTGCCTCATGATTAAGCCCGTTGTCTTCAATAAGTATCTGATATGGATAACATGTTTCAAAGGGCTGGTTTTAATTGGGATTTTTGTTTTTGTATAATGTAATTTTAATATAATCTCCCTCCCCATTTGGTTCTGGTCATGTTTTATTTCTCAACAGCTCTGCAACTTGCTGCATTATAACTTGAGCGACATGATACAATTGATGGCCCTTGTATTTTAGACCTAGGGCTATTCTGGGAACAAGCTGCAAACGCATGACGTTATCTCTAGTGCTATTGTCGCAAGCTATTCCTATTTTCCCACCTGTTCAAGCCTATAATGCCCTTCAGTTCTAATTTCAAGTACGACGGCGGCAATGTCAAAGCAACCTCTTATTCCATGTTTCCTTCTCTACTCCACTATAGATTAGTGGCAGCGCTATTGCCACGTATTTCAACTTCCGCCAACGCAATTCCTCCCATGACGTCTACCCTAATTATAATTTCAGTTATTTTTGGGTAGGGGTGGGTGGGCATTTAAACCAGTGAGTCTGAAAAAACCCTACTGACCAAATAAAAGTCAACCTAGGCTAGACCGACAGTGGCCCTTTTCAGAAAATTAAACACCACATGGGATACGGCACGACTGTATCTTAGTGGTCAAGCCATGCCCCAAATCTTAGGAGGCGGTGGTGGTGGTTGCTAAGAGAGGGAAGGCTCAAAAGGGTTTCACCCCATTTGGAAAGACCTCAGGCCCTCATCTGCCCCCTTAATAAATTATGTAAGGTCATGCTTAGCTAGTACTATTCAGCACAAATATACTCGCTAAAAGCCTAAAATTGCGACTGCTAGCAAGATACAAACATTAAACCAAAATGTCTTAATGCTGACATGATCTTCAGGTAAAATAATAATACAAAATTAACGGAGAAAAGGAAAGGTAGGGATTTTATACCAAGTCCCCACAATATGCTGCGCCCATAATTGTCTTTTTTTTTCCTTTCTTTAATGTCCCTTCTCATAAATAAATGAGTCATAAATATGCTGCGCCCATAATTGTCTTTTTACTTCCTTTCTTTAATGTCCCTTCTCATAAATAAATGAGTCATACTAGACAGATCCTATGGATGCCCTCTCTAATAGAAGTAGGGTCCATCAATGATACACAATGTGATACAACAATATGATATCTTAACTATTCTTCTAAACACATAAGTTATGTATCAACAACAAAGTTCAAGAGTGTACGTCCACATTTTAACAAACTAGTTAAAATTTTCCTCCAACTTGAGGTGTAATGATTGAGATAAATGTTTTAGGTCATTTTTTTTCAAGAAATATCCCTACTAAATGAGTATCGTTTAACCGCTTACCATCCTAGTCATTTGAAGTGTATTTGTTTGCAAAATTTCAATGACTAAATGATTTTTAATATGTTTAATTTGGTTATAGATAAATAGTTTTAATAATTGAATTATATTGGATCGACCAATAATATGATGTGTGCACTTTTTTTACATAGCGGGCGTCCACGAGGTGGCAATTTCCTCCACGACCCGTTACACGACTCGAAACCCGCACGGAAAAAACACGACTCAAACCCGCACGATTAATAATTGGGTAATTTTTGGGTCAACCCGTTTTGACCTGTTTATTAAACGGGTGGGTTTCGGGTCAACCCACCAACCCGTTAAAACACATGTGTAACCCGTGTAAGATACGCCAACCTGCGAAAAAATATAGAGAAATAGATACTTCAAAACACAAATATGTGGTTTCGAACCCCCACCATCCTCATAACTCTCCAACACCTTATCCACCATGCTAGATATAACTTTGTGAAAATGATTTTATGATATGAGCAAGCCAGAAAGGGGAAGTGTAACCATAACCTCTTTTGAAGGCAAAGCAAGTAAAGCCAGCAAGTTCTTTATATACTATGCTTTTTGATATTTATAATGTTTCTTTTTCTTCTTTTGTTTTTCTTTATTTTCCGTCTATCTTCTCCTTTGTCTTTTTTAATTTCTTTTCCTTCTCTCTTTTCTCCTCTCTTTTTTTACTTCTCTTTAGTTTTCTCTCCTCTCTTTTTTATTTTTATTTCTTTCCTTCTCTCTCTCTCCTTTTTTTTCTTTCTTTTCCTTATACTATGTCTCTCTCTCTCTCTCTATATCCTTTTTTTTCTTTCTTTTCCTTATATTTTCTCTCCTCTCTCCGATTTTTTTATTTAAATTTTTTCAGTTGTGACTTTTGTAACATGCATGTTATTATTTATTAACCCGTTACACGACTCGAAACCCGCACGATAAAAGACGACCCGAACCCGATACGACACGTTTATTAAATGGATTGGGTTCGGGTTGAGCATTCTTGACACGTTTAATATCCCGACACGACACGAACCCGACACGACCTGACCCATTGCCAGCTTTAGCGTCCACTCTAGATCCTACCTGGCATATCATAATCATATTTGACATTTTTTTAACTAGGCTTAACAAATTTTTGTAGATTTCTGTTGAGGCCCAAAAAATCTAAAGTTGGGCCCAAATATATTTCTAGCCCAGTATGACACCTAACTTGGGAAGAAACCAGACTTGGATAAGCAAGAGTTTGTCATATGCGTTTGTACACATGTCATGCCAAGCAAATATGCAACATGCCACGCAGAAAAGTCGTAACAAGCCTGTAAAATGTATTGGTTCTATGAACTCATGCTCATTATCCTGTCAAGTGCCATTTTGGCCCGACCATAGCCTTACAAAACTGCAAAGCTCGAGCACAAGAAGGCCAAATAACATGCCATGCCAAGCAGAAAATCCTTATTTTGCACAAAACCACACTACAAGCTTAAGTGGGCCCAAGTCACGCGAATGTTTGGGGCTTGCTAAGTAAGTTGTGGTATGGATGGTTATGAGTATTCACGAGGCCCATTGATAGTCCAAGGAGTGGAAGTTTTGGGATGCTTGGGAGCACCAAAACTCAAGGCCATTCCTTAATAAAAGGCTCAAACATATGAGTAAGCATGAGAGAGTGTTGAGGCCCAAAAAATCCATGGTTGGGCTCGAATAAATTCCCGGCCCAGTACGACACCTTATTAAGAAAAGACCCAATTTGAAGCACACGAAAGTCCCCCATGCACAAGTCACAGTCCACGTGCCATGCCAAATAAATAATCCATCATGCTAGGAATTGAGATAAAGATTATAAAATACACTACTTTACAAGCCCATGCTAATTAAGCATCGTGTCCCTATTCAAGGACCATAAAATTAAAGCACGCCAAAGCGACATGCCATGCCAAATAAGAAATCATTATTTCACACCTAATCACACTACAAGCTTAAGTGAGCCTAAGCCACGCGAATGCCTGGGGCTTGTTGATCGGGTTGTGGTATGGATGGTTACGAGTTTTCATGAAGCCCATTGATGAGTCGAGAAATGGAAGTTTTAGGTTGCTTTAGAGCCCCGAAACTTAAGCCCATTTCTTGAGCCCAAATATGTAGGTCAGCATAAAGGAGAGAAAATAGCCCATTACCTTGGAAAAAGATAGCCCATCACTTTGGGAAGTTGGCTCATCCCTTTAGTGAACTAGCCAATTACCTTAAAGAATGACCCAAGTGACCAACAAAATATCTGAAAGTTTCCAGCACATGGCTGGAGACAAAACCATGACAAAAGCCACTCACATCTGCAGGCTGCTGGGAATCTCCAGCACATGGCCAAAGACAAACTCAACGCAAGCCATTAGAAAAACCAAGGGATACTTGAGTAAAACATCCTTCAAACCAGTGTATATACCCATTTCTTTCCCCCCATCAGATCTAGCCATAGAAGAGGGGATAAAAGAAGGAAGAAAGATGGCTTAAAATGGGAGTTCTCCACTGAGGCAACTGCGGGAAGAGCATTGAGCTCCCAAAAATCCATGATTTTGTGCAAATGGACAGAGAGAATTTCACCAAACAGGATAAGTCAAAGGAAGGGAGGAGAAATGAAGGAAAAAACTTGGCCAAATTGGATAGAAACCATTAGGGTTTCTTGGAAAAGAGTAGCTTCCAACGTCTATAAAAAGAGGCATTTCCTACCAATCATCTCAACCTACATCTAGAGAGCAAGCTTCATCTCTCATATTTGAAACTCTGCAATTTCGTGTCCTATTCCTCCATCTCCTCCCATTTTCTCTTATGGCAAGCCATTCTAGAGTCTAACATAATTTTTGTCAGGCTGCTGAAAAATTACTCGAAACACCCAATACTTCACAATTAGCCACAACCACATCCAGAGAGCAAGCTTCCCCTATCATCTTCAAAACTTAGCAAATTTGTGCTATGTTCATCCTTCTCCCCATATTTTTCTCTACTGGCATACTGTTCCAGCACTTGATATCACCTTTTTCGAGCTGCCGGAAAATCACTTAAGCCACTCATTGCCCTCATTTCTCTTCTCAACGAATTCTCTTAGAATCCCTTCCCTATGCCTTAAAAACTTTGTTTCTCATAGGAAATCATAGCCATTTCTCTCTCTCATGCTAAACTCATGAATGCTCAGCTCCTATGTCACAAGCTTCTCATACCAAGCCAAAAATTTATCTGTAAGCTGTTATTATTTTTGTTGGTGAAAGTAACCAAGGTGTTTCCTAAGGCTTCACTATCCTTTCGAAGCATTTTTTGGGCTTGATCTTTGAACTCAGACACAAGGGATAATTCCATCAATTCGCTCCTTACGATAGCCCAACCTATTTGTAGCTGCCGGAAGAAAAAGCCCCTACAGAGAGAAAACCCAATAGCCCATCACCTTAAGAAAAGACCCAAACATCTTAGAAAATATCCAATAGCCATAGCCCAGAACACTTGAAAATATCCCACATCAGTCAAAATATCCAACACCTTTTCAAAACCAAGGCAAACCCACTTGAACACAAGCTGCTCCTAGCACCTTGTCAAAACCAAGGCAAACCCATATGCACATGTTGCTGGAAGTAAATAACCTTTTGACTAGCACCCTTACCTATTCTTTCCTCTGTAAGCTCTGTAGGAAAATAAAAAAGGAAAAGCAAGAGGCACTTCACCTAAATGGAGGAGTCCCGCCGCATGAAAGTCTTGGAACCCCAAAAAGCTCTGCTCCTATGTGCTAGGGTT